CGGCTGCTCGAAGGGGCGGGCTCCCCGCGCAGCAACTTTTGGAGACGGTGAAACTGCGGCGGCCCAAGAGCGGCAGGGGCGGCGCACCTGGAGCCGGACTTGGCGCGCTCCCTGCGCCTTTGGGACCCACCGGCCTGGCGGAGGCGGAAAGAGTCGGTCGCTGCAGGGCTGCGCTCGGAGGAGACATGCAGGACTGGGGGGCCGGCGGCGGAGGCAGATGCCGGCTGGGGGCCGCCTTGGTGGGTAAGTGCCGGCCGGGAAGGCGGCGGGGGTTGCCGGCGCCCGGCCAGGGAGGGGGACAGAAGACGAAGTATGTCTTAAAGTTGTACAGGAATGCCTTTTTTTTTAAAGAAACTACACATTACTGCCGTTTGCTATTTGTGTGACAAAGGTATACAGCACATAGGAAAAGTTTTTCTATACCTATTTTTGTTTCCTACATTTTCCCAGGAGGCAGTAACTGCAAGCGTATTTTAATGTTACAGGGAAATAAGGACTGCCAGAAAATAGTTGACACTTTGTGAACATAATGCTGTAATAAAGAAACGTTTCCAATGCCTGAATTTGCACTTTTGCATCCTGAAATTCAGTGTCCGGTCCGGGACCGCCTGGGCTGCCGGGGAGGCTGGATCCAGAATTGTGCGGATGCGGAGACACGGCGCTGGGACGCGGCGCCTTGCCCGGGAGCAGGCACTCTTCGCCCGGACCCAGAAGACGTCTTGAGGATGAAGTTGCGGGCAGGGATCTCTCCCCCGCCTCCACGGGGCCTTGGAGAGGTCGACGCGGCCGCAAGCGGGGCGGCGGCTCTTTCGCTGCCCTGCCCGGTCCTCCTCCTTCACTCCCGGCTACGACAGACACTCTGGGACCCCCCCCCCCAGATCTCTCCCCCGCGGCCCCGGCTCGCGGTCGTGCTTGTTGGTGCCCCGGGGCATAGAAGGTGACGGCGAGGCGGCTACGCACAGCCCCGTGGGCCTTCGTCTCCGGACCAAGAGCGGCTTCTTCCTCTCCAGGGTCAGGCCGGGGCTCAGGCAGAGACAAGCCTCCCCAGCTCAGGCGGCGTGGCAAGGATTTTGCATGCAACCCTTTCCTCCCCCCCCCCTCCGCCACCCCCAACACTCCGCTAAGCATCAGAGCATTGGGGGAAGAGAGGTCTCGGGGAAGCCTCCGCTCCGACAGAGGGGCAAAGTTTCTAAACTGCCTTTCATGATATTTCTATATGCTATTAAAATCTCCTAAGACAACGTTATACACCAGACTTGGAATAAGTGGGTGCCCTTCCTGAGACATGATGAACCGGTGGATGACTGCACTGCCTTTTGTGGGCTGACGGCCCCTTCGGCGGTTGCAAAATCCAGGCTCTGATAAGCCAGGGGTGGGGGCGGCTTCCATGTGCCAGGGGGGAGACGCAGTTCCTTTGGCTGGAGCAGACAGGCAGGGTGGCCTGGAAAGCAGAACAAGTGTGAACACTGTACGCCCCAGCCTCAGGTTCTCCCTCCCCCCCCAAAAAAGGCTGTAGGTCTGAGTCGCAGGAAGAGTTCTCATTAGTAATAGGAAAAGTTAGCTTCACCTCCTTCTCTGCATCCCACGGGGGTGATGTCACTCCTGGGACGTGGCTGGC